CAAGTAACTTGATCTCATCACTTTTTGCTCATCATGCACAAGCTAAAATGTAGGGTAAGGTTTTACTGTACAGATACAAAGTTTTAATATACACCTGTTCCCATCAACAGCTCCTCACAGGAATAGCTTAGTAATCCTTTATGATAGAAGGGTAAATTATAGACCCCTTTTAAATTAATTTGATCCCTCAGCTACTACCTTTGGTAAAATCTGATGAAAAAAAAAAATCACAGAGAGGTGTAGCCTAGAGAAAAAAACAGCAAAGGAATGGAAGCAAAACTGTATTTTTTCATTAAATCTTGAACACAGACAACTAACATGGGACAGATTTCTACTAAATCCTTTTCTGGAAGTTGTAAGGTACCCTTAGACTTCTACAGCTTGCTTCTAAACTTCTAATGTCACAGGCCTTGACACATGACAAACTTACTACACAAGTTTACCTGAAATGGGTAGATATTTTAAACTCTTGTTCCAAGATTCATTTGTAATGACTATGTGGAAAACCTCATTCGTATCAGTCTCACAAAATCCACTTACTGCTGTTTTCAGGATCAAACCAAGCTGCTCACAGCTCACCATCATCTTCCAGCACGGTGTTAGAGGCAGGAAAGTATTTTGGCTCTTCAGCTGGTCATGACGTGCAAATTTTGACAGACTGATAGAGGTATTTGCTAACCCAATATCCATGTCATGATCTGTTACCCTGAATCACCTACAGAAAAGCTTACCACAGCAAAGTTTACCCAACTGCCAGTGGGGGGAAAAAAACCTAAAAAATAATCGAGAGAGATTAAGGCCTGTATGCGAGAAACAAATAGCACTTAAAATGCTGAAGAAAATATTGAAAAACTCAATATAAATCAAGATCCCAAGTACAGAGGCTCTGGCTGCTTCGCTTACCATGCTTGAAAAGGAGTTATATTTTGCAGCTTTAGTCCTGCAATTATCCTAAAGAAGAAAATAATATATGAAAGGGGCATGTTTACTCTTCTGATGGAAACTATTCTATGATATAAAGGGTTGTTACAAATGAGACCTAGCTAATGGCTTTAATGCTCTACTGAACATGCCAAGGTAGCAATATCTTTGGCAATGAGAGAATTTCAGAATTTAAGGATGAGATTATTAGATCTAACATAAGTATATTTGTTTTGTACGCAGTACACACATTTCATTCCGACATATTCCATTGTACTTTCCATACCTCCTCCAGGACCATGAGCACAGTACCTACACTGTACAGCTTGATTTTGATGATTTTACTCAAGAAGTTCATTCTTGGTTCTCTCAGTGTCTTCAAATTAATTGAATTTGTAAGCCAAGATAAACAAAAATGTCTGCTTTGTGACAGAAGTTAAAATGCTGAACATTAAAATAGGACAAGTTCAAACTCTTAGGTTAAAATAGAGCCATAGCATAGAATTATCTATTCCAAAATTAATTTTTCAAAATATAATTCTCTGAACATGCTGTACATTAAATATTGAGGAATATTTCCCCAGAGCAAAAATTTTCCAAGAACACTAATAATCTCCATTAAAGTAAAACAAACCACATAGTATCTGAAGACAAGAAGGGGTTAGAGTTGGGGCCACCTTACTACAGAGTAGCTTTACCACCACTAAGATGCAGGTTTCCCCCTTAATCTTGAAAAATATGTTCATATTTACATACAGTATACACACAGTTGAGGCAATTGATTGTCAACACGTGACAAATGTATGTACCTACTCACACACAAGTAAACCTCACATGGTGAGAAAAAACCCTGTCCCAGTAAACTCCAGTATTCATAAGTAGTGCAAATACTTTGTCAGAAAACATTTTTTTTCTCACTGTTTTGATGATTTTAATGACATTAAAGCTAGCAGGAGTGTGTTGGAAATGTTGTGTTTAAGATCAACACACTTGCGAACTACAAATACTAGATATAATGCTTACTGGCTGCAACATGATGTTCAGCATTACAGAGGGAAATATGCTCTTAAAAACTCTTGTAAATTCACATCAGAAAGGGTGTTTGAAGAAATCTGCATTTAAAATAGACAGTGATATGGAAGTATCCATTTTATTTGGATATTACAGATACTTCCATAAAATGGAAGTTTCCCAATGAAAACTAGAGGGATAATACAGCAATTTAAACTGTCATCCAGCAACATTCATTTTAATAGGTATTTTTACTTCATCACTTTGCTGTCTGCAGGATGAAGAAATGGTTCATCTTTCAACCAAAAAGCTGCTCACAACAAACCCCTGAAAAGGATAATCAAGCTGGACTTCACAATCCCAACATTTTGTATTTTCTTAACATTACAAAGCCCAACACAAAATGAGTTGCAAAACGGCAGTATATTGTGATGTGCATCAAGGAATATTTCATTTTTCCCTCCTGAAGTGTATGTATCCATCAGAATGTAGTATCCACACTTCCTCACCTAAGAATTCCATCTGTACGTGCACGTACACATTCAGAGGGAAAGATCACAGTGTTTTGCTTCTTGACCTTCGTTTATAATGCTGCAGTTGCACTGAAATACGGCCAAAATCTAAACCTAGTGCCTCATATCAAGTACCAAATGTTCTAAAAGAAGACACAGCAGAGTGAATTTAGGATAAAGAGGTTTGATTGAAGTCTAAACATTTGTCACAGGTGTCAGAAAATTTAAGAATGTTTTGTACTTTGTTCAGTATTTAGCATGTATAATCAGAAAGGAAGCAGATTATTCCCTCCACCCATATCCCAGACACTTCTAATTTTAGTTCTGCCATAGTACTTTGAAGTGTACTGAACTTAGTGTATGGTTTTGCTATGATCTTAACACACCTTAGGACAGTCTGAGACACATCTAGAAGCACTAATGGTAACATCATACACAGCACTGCAAAGCCTGTTACTACAGCTGGTTTGTAGAGATCAGTGATGACTCGATTTGTAAGACAAATGTTAAACAGTACTTGGCTGAAAAACAACTGAAAAAGCTCCCACAACTGAAACACTGCACTAAAGGGTAATTCTGAGGAGTTACAGATGTACCACATCAGCACATAGCAAAAATTAATTTTTTTACAGGGATAAATTTGAGCTTTTTAAAAAGACTGATATGGAATACGTATATACACACAAGAACAAACCAAAATACAATGAATGAGACAATAACAAAAGGCACATAATGAAAATGAGAACTGCAAAAATATCATAAAAGCTAGTTTGACTAAAGTTTAGCCAATCTGAATTTATGCATGTACATCTGACTTCCCTATCTAAAGTCACTAAAGCTGTCTGACTTTCCTGAAATAGTTTTTTAAAAGATTGCAAAATTTGATCTGATACCAATTTAAGTGTCCTAAAACTTCTGGAGGAATACTTACAATGGTAAATGTAGAAAGCAGAGAACCTTGCTAATGAATAGTGCTACTTTTTAAAATATTAAAATTAAGTAATTCTTAGAAAACTAGCTGACATTCCTGACCCTTTCTTTCCCAAAGATTTATGCAAATTTTCTTTGTGATGGTCTCTACTAAGAATAAATTTTGTACTTTCAGCTGTGACTTACCAATTGTCTCCACTAGCAAAACTGCATTTTATAAAGAAGAATTTAACCATACACAACATTTTTACAGAAATATAAGCCTTGTAGCTTAATCTCAGTTTTGCCGTAATTCTGTCTCTGCTGGACTGGTGGTCCTTAAAGATTAACTTCAATTTAGAAACTCTAAGGTTTTCTTTCTTTCTTTCTTTGTATTTACTCTTTAACTGAATTTTTGCATCAGTCCAGAAGCCACTTAATTCACTTTATGCATATGAAGACTAGGCTACCAAAGTGACTCATCAAACCACAAAAAAACCCTTCAAATATTTAATTAATTTTAATGTAAATTTGGAAAAAGTCCTATTTGAAATAATGATTAAGAAACAAACAATCCCCCTAAAACCAACTACCAGCAATACAACAACACTATATTATTGTCCTGAATGTCTTAAAGACTATCATTAAACACAGCCTGATGTTTATAACTGCTTATGTTTTTCCTCACAGTGACAGTGAAACCAAAGTGCCCACAAAAAGATCATAACTCTTTCCTGTGGGCTTACAATTTGTAAACTTCCAGGGTATCATACATGACATCACCATAGAGGATAAACTTTCCCCTTTTCTCTCTAGCAATCCAAATAGAAATACAGGGAGTTGGAGAGAGAATGACACTCTCCTGTGTAACCAGAAATGTGCTTCCAAGCAGTGTTCTCTAATGCAAGTACCAACCAGTGCCGATACACCAGTCACATACATTCAAGGCTTGGCTCAATTTGTTCTGAATTTTCTAGAGTAGGGCCAATTCACTAAAATAAGAGTTTAAAAATCTCAATAGATTATATATACCAAGGCAATGAAGTGTGATCCTTCTGGGGAAAAAATGACTGTCGGTACCCCTTTGCAAAAATGGTGTTGCTAGAAAAGCATTTCACATTGAAGCTTCAGTGTTTCTAGCAAACTATTGTCTCTATCCCTGAGACAGTGCCTTGAGAGTATGGTCTGTCTGGACTGCAGGATTCTTCAAATGACTCCATGACTGAATTCAGGGACATTGAGAAAGCAGCTGAAAGAGGTGGGGGTGGCCCAACAGCTATGATACCATAGAAAGCAGCCTGAGAAATACTCTTTACCCGAATTCACCTTTCAGTTCAGTGATCAGCACCTCACAACAACAACAAAAATGGAGCAGAGCTAGCCATTAGTTCCTGGGAAATTAGTGTTTCCCTCCCATTTACAAACCAAATTGCTTTAACAGCATGGTGTTATCTAAATTTTAGCCTAAATGCAGAATGACCCTGTGTCCTGGAGGGGAAGACATGCCACATTACAAATGGCTACAACGCCATTATAAGTGCATTGTAACCTACATTATCAACTTAGAATCCTCTCTCTGAGGCAAAACAACTTCCTAATGTGTATGTCTCAGTTGCTGAACACCTTCTGGGATGAGAGACTGGGGCAGTCAAGAAAAAACTACCCTCATTTTAATAATAAAAGTGCTGTAGGCAGCCAGGAGCAGCAATGACAATCCCCTCCCCAGAATTGATTGCACAGACTCAGAGAGGTCCAAAGTCACACTAGAATCTCTGAGGCACTCCTGGTTCTGAGAAAGAAAAGTCATGATCCAGTAGTCTTTGCAGTACTGTAGACTGAGAAAACAAACCCGTTTCTATTTCTTAACAAAGCCAAAGCATCATCTCATAGGGATCACATTCACCATTTCCACCGGTGTCTCCAGTCTCACAGTGTTGAAATGGGACTGATCAGCCTACGATGGATTGCACATCACCCAAGGAGAAAGGAAGGCATGGAAAAAGGCATACAGTACATTATATACTGCTTCACAACCACGGTTACAAGGGGGAAGGAGGATGAAGGTGAGGGAAGAATTATTGCTGTGTCAGTAATACAGTATGACAGCGAAACCAAATCAAACAAGATCACAACAGTCAGTATTTTCACACTGTGGGATGATGGTTCATGTTTTGCCTAAGGATGAACTTGCCAGGGGCTTAAGGGCAAAGAGGGAGTACTAAGGAAGGGAGTCAAAGTTACACCTGGGATATCAGCTGCATATTGAAACTTGGAGATCGAGACTGCTTGGTTAGGGGAGCTCCTGGGGCAAGGAGATCTTTACCTTCCCCAGCTGTGCCTAGTCGGTCCTCCTGTAGGCTGATAGTTGAAAACCGGTTGGTGTTGCCAGCTGTTAGATTGCTAAAACCTTCTGTACCATCTCCAACACTGGAGCCTGCCTGACTGCCATTCACATAGTCAAATGATTTACTGGAGGAAGCACTGGCGGTCCTGATCAGGCTCAAACTGTTGGCTTTTGGCACCACCTGCCCAGCAGGCAGGCTGAGGTGTTTCTTAGTAGGTGTCATCTCAATTATATCTCCACCCAGGTCGGTGGATTGGTGTGTATACTGCTTTCGAGCTACTGAATCTCGAGGGCTCTCATTGCATTTTGCTGCAGAAGAGGTTTCTTTATCCTTAGTAGAACGCCCACTTGCTGTTTTCCTTAAGCTGCCCTTCTGTGACACAGAGGATACAGGTTTGGTCCCAACTGGCTGGCTGCTGAGGGAAGCTCCTGATGAAAATCCTTCATCAGCATCATTAAGGTTCACAGACTCCTCTCTTCCATTTACGCCTTCAGCATCTGTTAAGAAAAAGAGAAGCAACCAAAGAAACCCCAAACCAGTCAGAACACACAGTAAGCATTCAAGTTACATGAAGACAAAGACATGCACAGAATGTCAAAACAAACCTCATTTGGTAATCCACCTGGATTCCACTTGCTTAAATTCTTTTTGATTCCTGGCCAATAATCTCCCTGTCATATTTAGCAGAATAACAAAGTCTAAAAATAAGTGCTCACTGAGTTTGATTTGCCTTTCCTCTACATCACCTATATCACTCACAATATCAGTCCTAAACTTTGTCTATAAACAAGAACTAGGCCCCATTTGGTTATTTGTTTTATTTCAGCCTGCAGATACCACTGCCCATTCTCCTCCTACATGTGGTTAAAAAACTAAACAAAAAAAAAACTCCTACCCTTTCAGATTATTTTTATCCTATTTTGAGGCAAGATCCAAAAATGTTCAGGAACTCTTCCAGTCAGAGGAAGTTCTGGTGAGTGCTCTGTAAGCTTTGGAGTTAGGCTACTTCCTAGGCCAGCAACCACAATGAGCCAACAGAGGGAGAAGGCTTCTGTTGCGTGCAGCCAGCTCTTCCAGCAATATGACTACACTTTCCATTGGAGATTAACTTAATTCCTAGGTCTCTCTCCTCCAAAACTCACTCATCCCTGCATTTCCAACAATCCCATGTAGGTGCTTCCACCATATTTGGTTTTATGTCAGCATCTCGATTTTGCAGAGAAATGAACCACCAAACCCACCCTTGTATTAAAAGAAATTTCATCTCTGAAACACTTCATGTTCTACAAGAGACAATGTGCATTTCTCAAAGAGAAAATAAAAGCCTGACAATCTTATTTCTTAAATCCTTGCTTTCAGGCCTATTTTATGATTAAGGCCGCAAAGAAAGCCTTTTTAAAAAAAATAAATCTTATTCCAATCCTTTTTCTAAGCTCCAAGTACTCAAAAGAAGTTATTGTTTCAGCAGAAAACTAAACAGCATTAAAATTTCAAATCTGTAAATGGAGCTTGATTTTTTTTGCTCCCTATATCATGTTTCAATAAGAAAAAGACAAATTTTAACTGTATTAGCAAATAAAAGGAGGCATCCAGGCTATAAGAATTTTGCTTTCTTTTATAAAAGCTGTAGAGCCTGATTATTTGCAAAAAATCTGCAGAGCCCATGGATCTCTCCCAGTTAAAGCTGCTGTATTGCTTACTGTTAGACTGTCTGACCCAGCTTGCTGCCAAGCAAACATGTTTAAATCTCATCTGGGGAGTGAGGGAAACATGGTGGCAAGGATCTTAGAGATTCTAACATCTGAGTGGAGGCTCATCCTTTCATGCTGATCATCAGCAGAGCACTAAGGAGTATTTCACATTATGGCAAGCAGAGCAGACAGTGTTGTTGCTGCCTCTGTGTAGCAGTGACATAGCCTGATCCAATTCTACATTTCTGAAGTGTAATGCAAAAACAAAGCTTTACAGGGAGGTTTTATTACTCTGCTTTAAATTTACTATTTCTTTCAAGGAAACTTTGCCTTGGAATTACCATTACTGTGTATCAGCTTATGAAAGATGTTTAGGCACCTGCAAATCAGACTATTCTCAGGCCTCTCTCAGGACAAGGCAATGAGAGACTATTCTGTCGTTTTATATACTTCTGTTTCACTTATTAACCTCCCAGAGGCAAAAACGTAATATAATTCATGTTACTGCAGTCTTCCTTCCTTGGTAAAGCCTTTAGCCTTAGAAAAAGAAACTTCTTAGGTTTCAAGGACTATTATTAAAATGAAGGGTGTGTTACTTGGTTTAACTTCTGTAACCATATTTAAAATACATATACTTTCCCCACCTCCTGCCCACCCTGTTTGGTCAAACTAGGCTTTCATTTTCTCCTTGAGACATAAGGGTATTTTCTTACAGTAGACAGTGATGTATTTTATTCACAATCCATCACATTTCCATTCCCCCCTCCAACCTTCCCACACATAATCAAAGATGCAAATAAAAATAAGATGTAACAGGAAGAGCACTTTTTCAATTAACCAACATTTATGTTTCTTGTTAATCATGCAAGGCTGGATGAAAGCATGTTTGGTTACAAGCAGCAAGAGCAGCAGCTTATGTCCCCTCTCAAGCCCTTCTTATTCCAAAAACAGATGTGTCACTTGCAAGAAGGTATCTCCAGACAACACTGCTAAGGTTTTTATTATCATAACAACATTAGTAGTTTTCCAAGTTTATGGATGCTAAAGCACACATTCCTATTCAGGGACAATGAAGCAGAATAGTCACCAAAAAAGTGGCATTTTATCCACAGAATTTAAAGACAAGACTGAGAGGGGTTGTTGCAAGCTTTTGGATGCTGCAACTACACAAGGTCAAAGCTGCACGGCAGTGCTCAAAATGAAGCAGATAGAGAAGACAACATGCAAGAGAATTTCTGTCTAGTCAGATCCACATACCTACAGAAGTTCTCAGTGGGATTAAAGCAATTCAGCAAAGACATTCTTTTTCTAATACATGTTATTTTTCCTCTAAAAACTGCCCTCAGAAACAACAAAAAAAAAGTTGAGTCCTTACATACTCAGGGGGGAAAACCAGGATGACATCTTAGACGTTTTCTTCCTTTTTTTATTTTTTTTTGTTCCAATAGACCAATAAGACAACTTTAAAAGGAAACAAAAATTAAAAATCTGCTCCTTCCCCAGTACTCTTCTACTGTAAAGCCAGAAGAGAAAGAGCCAGTGCAACCCAACAGAAATCGTATCAATTGCACTACAGCCTGTATTCAGGACTCTCACTGTTTCTTATTAGAATAAACCTGTACTCAAATGATTTGCTGTTTATGTCTATACACAATTCATCCTGTAGCTATAGACACAGTGTTCACCACTGACCCAAACTAGTGCACATAACCACAGGTGCAACCACCCGGAAGCAGAATACCTTGTAAGGCATTACTGAGTCATTCTTGAAATCTTCTTTTTCTATTTATTGGGTCAAAACACTGGTCTGAAGAAAGGGTTTTATACAGCTTTTCAAAGTTACTTTTGTTGTGTTTATTCCTACACCTGAAGGTTGAAAAGTCACCAGAAGTGATCGGTCTCTCACTGTATTGTTTCATATCAAAACAATATTTATGAGAGGGAATTTTCTAGCTGAGACTTTCTGTGAAACCAGCATAAGTAAAATAACAGACCCCTGTATCTACACACATAATGCTATACTGATAATCAAGCCAAACTCCATTCCTTGGCCTTCTCCCAGATGCTATCAGCTGGAGAATTCAGTTTGCTCAAGCATGTAATTATACATTGCTAATGCTATAAAAGTAAATGGTATTCAACCCACTTCTACTGAAGTAAAGCATGTGGAATGATGTGTTATCCAAAATATGCCAAATTATATCGAAGCTAGTTAGGACCAAAATGCATCATCTTTATTGAATTTTTACACTTCCTGTCTCTCCCAGAAGGTTCTCTGCAGCTCAGGACTTCTCTATATCCTTCAGGTCATGCACATGCAAAGATGAGTAAAATGGAGTAAGATCAACTGAACAAGTGAGTTTAAGAGAAGACAGATCATTTACTGAGCATGCTCAAATTCACAATGCACCAAGTAGATTATAAACCTGCACTAAATATTTTTATGCAACTATGTTCTACAGAAGCATGATGTCTTAATTACTGCTTGACAGCAACTCTGATTAAGGGTAAGGATTCTCTGATAACACTATATTAAACCTCCAAATTCTCCAGATTATTGTTTTCTGAAGAAAAAGTCCGAAAGCTAAGGAGCTCATATCTGAATGTGTGAATGAATCTTCTGTCATCAACTAAGGTCATTATAGAGGCTGGCAACACCAAAGGAATGTTCAGATAGAAAAGAAGACTTCAGATAGGAGAACACCTGAAAATATCTTTAGCTAAATTTACAAGAAATTAATTCTCATCTCTGAGGAGAAATCGGGATTCAAGTTCAAGTACTCAAAGCCACAACTTTTATTGAGTAAATCATCTTTACTCAAAAATTAATAGATGAGCAGCAAAGTAAACTTCTGTCACCTACTGTAATTGCTATTCTTGGCTGCAAAGCAGACATATGAAGCCCTACAGCATTTGTGTGGACAGCAGGACTGAGAAAGAAAGCAGTAATTGTTTCTAAAGTTTTTAGAAACACGAAAACTTGATTTCTTCTTGAAAAAACAAGCCCTTTTTTGGTACTTGTCATTAGAGCAGCAGCTCTAAAGGAGTTGTACGCCTATGAATTTTTAATTAAAGGATGACTGACAAATACAACAGCAGCAGTTGCATATCTGTCTTAGATAGGCTTGACTTTCAATGGGAACAGGAAACTTCATTCTTGAAAATTTATAAACTGCAGACTAGCAAGACACTATTGTAACTATGTTTTAGCTAAATCCCTTTACACTGTCTACTTTCCAGGACTTGAATCATGTTCATTTGGTGCATTTCTTTCCTTCTGAGTATTAGATTAAACATGCTCAGTAATAGAGTTTCCAAGCAATCCCAAAGCCCTCGGCTATTACCCCGTCTTTGTTTTGGTTTTTTTGCCATGCCAAGCAGTCTTTCACCACACAGATGCAAGCCCCAGGCCAGCCCACGTGATAACAAAAGGTAGTACCTGACCTGGTGTTAGGTATATAGGGGGTGTGTGTATTGCAAAGAGAAGCTAATACACCCTGGGATAGCGGAAACACACACTAGAATGGAAAGAAGTTCTGCTTGGGGATAGGGAGCCAGGATCCTCCTCCAGCAACTGCCTCACTGACTTCTGCCTCCTCATCTCTGTCCTACCCTCTGTTGTGGCTGCTGCCAGGGTGGGCTCCGGGAAGCCATGCTCAGGGGTCCTGCGCATCGGCACCTCCCCCTCGTGCTCACGTTTGATCCCTAGGTCTGTGCAGCCGTGTTGGATCGGTGAGCCAGGTATGCTTGAGTCAGCCTCGTTTGAGAAGTCAAAGCCATCTGGGATTCAACATATAACATTTTAGTGCTTTTCTATTCCTTTCTTGGCATTCCAACCCAGGCAGGGAAAACAGAAGATTTAGGTGGACATGGAACACACACAAAACACTACCCATGCTTAGTTACAAGTTGTGAGAACATCCACAGAAAGGGACAGGTGGGCTATACTGTAGACCAGAGACCAGCAAATGAATATAATGGCAACTACAGTGAAGACAAACATGACCTAGAGTCCTGAAAACAGGAGACAGCTACTTGTTGTCCTGGACATCCTGATTCAGCTGAAGACCAGAGGTCATCAAATCCTTTTGCATGTGACAGAGAAGAATAATAAAAAATAAAAAGGAAAAATAATAAAAGGAGTACAACAGGAAAATAGGTAATTCCTGTTTTCAGACTCTCTTACTCAGTTTATTTTTAGGTTCTTCTACTTTATATCTTCATCGATTTATGCTTTTTTAGACCAATGTTTTATACATGAAGGAACAAAGCTTTCACAAGTATAACAAAGTGATTTCAAAGCAAGATTTTTGCTACACCTACACTGAAGATGTCATCACATCAAGGTAAACATCACTACATGTTTACTTTCTTTCTTCATATAGTCAAGCACACTTCCATATGACACAAGTACTCACTGAGGAAAAATAAAGATTAATTCTAAACTATCCAAACCTGTTTTATGGCCCTTTATAAACTGGGCCATAGGATGGTGGGAGTCATGTTCAGCTTTTCCCTCTCCCACTGCCATCAGTAGCTTTAGGCAGCTGGAATCCTATCAAGGTCTGGATATTACCATTCATTCCCTGAGCTATTTATTATGGGAGGCAGGTGAGTTTTACCGTGGATTAAGCTCAAATTGTATGCCACACTTTACCCCTACAGTTTGATGTGTAGAGAAAAAGAGGAGTCATCAAACACTTTCCAGCTTCTCCATTTTCTCACCTACCTCAGTTTATCACCAAATCAATCCCAAAACAAATACCCCAAATGTTCATGTTCATGCAGTGCTCTGAAGATGTAAAATATTATACATTATTATGGGGTATCACTTTTCAAAAACAAACAAAAAACCCCCCAACTGTTCTGCAAACATTCAAACTCAGAAGCCAGATTACAGTGATGATGATGATTACAGTACACTACAGAATCTCCTCCTAGCAGAGAAAGCTCACCTTCTCTCCTCCAGCGATGACGACGGATAGAAGCTGTTGTAATAGCACTCCGAGAAATCCTTGGCACTGTTGGAGTAACTTCTATTTTCAGTACCTTCTGGCCTTCTTGCGATGCATCAGGGGCATCAAAGGGCAGCGAGTTCTTCATGGCATTTGCAACCTAAGATAAAAGTAAAATGCTTTACTACTACTGTCCTTGATTACACTAATGGCAATATTATATCTCATGTTGGATACAGAAAAGAGGACAACCAAGAACTGTTAATTATGCCAGATCCCCTCAAGATGGTTGGCTCCATCCGCAAGATTCAGTTAATAACTACATTGAAAAGCTCATCACAAACCTATTCCAAAAACCAGACCTGAATTTTTGCCTTTTTTTTGAGGCAATTTATTTTGTTCCACATTTGCCACCTGCAGTGAGAGAGGTAACAATCTCTACAGGAAAGTCTCCATCCAAAAAAAGACTGCAAAATGACAAGGAAAATACCACTTATGCTCTATGAGAAGAGTGTCATAAAAATAAGTTACAGGCCAAGCCAATGCAAACAGCACGTGGCCCTCTGCACAGGGAGACAGACCACCACACTCTACTCCATACCTTCCCTGCCCCCATAAAAAAAAAAAATCAACCTCAAAACCTAACCAATGGGATTAGACTGCAGATACTTGCAAATTTTACTTATTTTAAAAAATTGCAACCTAAGCAATGAGCATCATTATTAAAGTAGATTCCTCTTTCTTGGAGCTATTTTTTTTGGTATTGTAATAGCCTATTATAAAGTCAGAAGTTTTGGGTTGCAGCTTTGAGGGGATCAAGTGACCTTTTTTGGATTTGACGTTTTAATTACTTCTTTAAATTTCCCATAGAATGCCTTTGTGGGATTAGAGTATGATTAAAAAAGCAACTTTCAGTGATGTTTCCTAGTTTACAAGTAAATTGTATACCAGCCTTTGAAAAGCAAGCTCAAAAGGTCTCTACAGCACGTGCAGTATTCAACAATAACAAAGTCAATGCACATGAAATATGACTTGGAACTTAAAAAAACCCCAAAATGCAACCCACAAAATGATTTTCCAAAATCTTACTGACATTATACAACCAGCCAGCAATAAAAATACTAGTCCTAGGGGACGGGAATGGCAGCCAGATAGCTGCTCCTGATCTTTATCTGCTGTTGTGATTCCATAACTCTACATTAAACACAATTTCCACTGCCTTCCTGTCTGACTTCTAACCAGCACTAAAGATTATTGGTACCATCACAGAAATGCTCCTTACCATTCTGCTTTCTACTAGTCCAACATTGATTTTCCCTTTGATAGCCAGTTCTCTCTCTCTTGGCCTCCACACTTGTTTTTGAACTGCTCTTCTACAGACACCTAGGCCTTTTTCCAGGCCATCCTCTTAAATGATACAAACCTTATTCATCCTATCTTTGATCACATCACAGACTTCAGAGACTTGTTTCTGCTGACTGAACCAAAACAGATCAAGTTTAACATTATACAATAGTTTGCCTTCCTATCTTCTACTCACTGAAGTTGCTACCTCCTTTGAATAGGTACCCTTGTCAGTATACGGGAAAAAACATCTAAAAATTAGTACCAAAATACTTCTACAATAGAACCAGAGAAGTGATAGAGCATTTCTGCTTGTTGAACTTCTAAACAGCTGGCCCTTTCTAGCAGCACAAACTGTACTTCTGGGGACTGAAGAGAACCATATGGAGATAAAAATCAATGCAACAGTAATTGAATGAGTCACAGCCCTTCTCTGACCAAAAAACCCCAACCCAAACTATGATCTTTCAGGATGCAAAAAAACTTATTCACAATGTCTAATTCAGCACTGAAAGGCAGGAAAACAAACACACAGCACAATTCAGACTTGGCAAACCAAGTCTGCAACTATCAATGACAAAGGAGGTTTGGTTTCAGGCCAGACCATCCACTCTTGCCTACAAAAAAGGAGTTCTAACAAAAGAACATTTAACAAAAGCAGTAAGTGCATCAATAAAACACACTGGATAAAGGTCCTATCACAACAGAGACCTGCTGACCTTGTGTACTGGACTACGAAAGCCTGTGTGACTCTACTCTGAAGACTGAAATTTCTGTCTGAAAATAAGTGCAGAATTCTTGCTTCAGATGAAAAGTCTGACTGGAACTGGTCTACTTCCCAGGTCCAGGCTAGCTTGGTAGGAATTCTGACTTTTGGTCATTAGTTTGCCTTTGTAAAAACTCACAAGTTTCCTGACCAATAACCACTGTTTGTTAACAGAGAGACTCTTCTTTATACAGAAAAGGCCTTTCCCTTGCATTACCTCCTGCCCTGTCCGGTACAGTCTCTGATGCTGGCAGTCTTCTGTTTAAAATACATAATTTTACAATGCTGCTAAATTATATGCATCTCCTGAAGGATGCAAAGAGATGACAAGGCTTCAATCTTTGAAAGAAGCCAAATTGCTTGAATATATGGCATGAGACCAAGGACGCACAGGGAATTTTTTTTAATATAAAACTGACAGTTTCTTAAAGCTGCTTTCCGCAAATTTTAGTAAAACAAAACAGGAAGCAGGCAATGATCAGAGTATTAAGAAGAAAACCTCCACAGATATGCCTGCATGCAGGAAAGACCTGACAACCAGGAAGGGGGAAAAAACTGATGATGTCATGATGTCACCAACACCAGACAATGGGACAGAGAAGCAATAGGACCTTTTGAAAAAAAACCAATGACATTCTAGAAGATTCCTAAAATTAGACTAATCTCTATGGACAAACTGATTAAAAATGAACAATGAAGACTGAAAATTGTCATATCATCAAGTTCCAGATCCTCCTACACAACTTTCAAATGCAGTAGTTTGGCAGGATAGCCCAATTCAGCAGGTTCAATATTTAATTTAAAACGTTCAGTCTGATGGAGTGATGACTCATTTCCAAAAGGAACCAACTATTAAAATAATTCAATGGATACCAAGCATTTTAAATGCTGCAGTGTCAGAAAGCCATTAGATGAATTTTGTAGCCAATATTAATTCATCAAGAGAATAATTTTATGTAATTTATTTCAGAAAAGAGATCTCAGATTTCCACATAAAAAGATTTTCCCCAATCCGCTCCTTTCTCAGTTATGTAAAAAAAAGTGAAATTTTACTGCTGTTAGTTCAGAGCAGGACTAGAGACTTCTAGCCACAATTCTGATGCAGAAACTGAAACAGCAGTCTATTTTACTTTATTCTCCTTAATTTTCTTTTGTCTTCTGATTCTCAGTCCTGAGAACTGGACAAAAATTTCTCCTCTCTGCAAACCTACTCATCTTTCCCAATCACATCCACCTGCATCCAGCCCAGTTTCACCACTTTACCCATTTCTTTTCTCCTTTTTTATGCTTAAAACAGTAATTACAGCACAAACTAGAAAAAAACACCAGACAATCAGAACTGCTCCATTTTATTGCTGCTCCTCCAAAGAAGGTAAAGATTAACATCTGCGTGACTTAGATCAAACAAAACCTGGCATTGACTCTGTAGATGAAGCTCCTCTTCACTTTCAGCTCTATCCTGTTGTTACTTTTTCTACTGTGTTATCAGATAAGCCACATAGCTTATTCTCAGCCCTGATGAAGGTCTAGAATCGAAGCAAACACCTTTTTTGCCACCAGTGTCCTACAACTATTCAGTTAATCTTCTTTGAACCACTCATCAGTAGCTTATGCCAAAACAACATAAGGATTTGAGCCAACAGTAATATGCTAGAAAATCCTAGCTTTCAGCATCGATGAGTCCTAGGAGATCCCAACATGCTAGCTTAATATTCAAGCAGAAAAAGTATGGTATAAATAGCTCTGTTGGAAAACACCAGCTGTTAACAAACACTTGCATTTGAAAGTGTAGTGAATGGCCACAAAAGCTTTCATTACCAGTCCACTTCAGAAACACATCCATACTCCTCTTAACCAAGCCTATACATTGCAGTGGATTGTTTCTTACCAGCAGAGGCTGTGAGTAGAGCTCAAGCTGTGCTCTGTAAATTATGTCCTCCAATACTTCCTGGCCAAGTTCCCACTGACCATTATATCTAAAAAAAGTAAAGATAGATATTTAACATCCACATCTTATGACAGCAAACTTGGCTTTTTTCTACCCAAATCCAGCTACTCACTTCTTTCTTCATGTAGAAAGTTCATCAACTATATGTACACGCCAGCCCCTTCATTTAAAAGTACAAAGTATTTTTTTATTAATCTTGGTATAACAAGAAAGCTGTTCTGTTTCACCTCCAATCAAGACAGAATTGATGCCAAAAGCAGGACAAACTTAACATTAAAAAAATGGGGTCAACATGCAAAGGTTAATGCTACTTAGCAAAACTGAATTTCCACCAGAAATGGATTTTTGGTACCTCAGAAGCTATTGACACTCAAAAGGTCTGCATTTCAGGTTATCTTGGCATCCAAGCTCATTATGCTTGTGAACGGAAAGTATTTCGTGGTAGTGGAAACTTGAGAAAAGATTAAACCAAAAGCCTAACTCTCTTCAGTACCTACTGAGTTAACTAAATGCTGACAAAAATATATTCAAATTATTGGTTGTCTGAATGAGTAAGTAATGGGCAATACACTAGTTATAAACTTGTGTTACGAGTTTAACTATTTTTTCTATTATAAAATAACTGGCAGTGATATTAATTCATGTAAGACCAGACACTTCTGTTTCAGGGAAAAAAGCCTTATCCACTTACATGGCATAATAGACACCTGTGAGCAGCTGCACCATGAAGTCAGGGTCTAACACCACTCTACCACAGTGTTCTTTCCAGCGTTTCTCATGCTGCCGTGGAAATCCACTCACACACAGTCTGAAAAAAACACCATTACAAGAAAGTGTTAACTTCACAAAGGTCTTTACATCACAGAGATAATTTTCGAGTTTAGTTTTCCTAACATAAATACACAACATAAAACATTCTTATGTTGCTTTCCTAACCACTCAAGCAGTTTTGTAACAGTGCCTTGAGATGTGGCTTGCTGATAATCCAGTGTTATTCCCATACAGACACTAACTCCATCTGTTTTCTTCAAATCATAACTGATACCAAGAAGCAGACTGAAAGCATGAATTGAACAGTTAAAGCTGAAAGCATAAAGAAGAGCTTTACTAACAGCACTATTTCAGCTTAATTAGCAAAATAGCAAGGATTGCATAGTACAGACAAGAAGCTTCACTAATGGTATTGTTTTGGCTTGGTTGGCGAAAGGATGCACCTCATCCAGAAGGCAGTAGAACTAACTGGACTCAAACCTTGGCAGTAGGAGGAAAACTAAGACCATATAAGGTGTGGAATGAAGAAACAAAATGTTCAAGATAGAGGCAAGGCCAGCAAGGCATGCAAAACTGTACAAAGGGGTAAACGGTTGCACAATGAGGTTGTCCAAAGGGTACTGAGGAAGAGGAGACACTTCATCTTCACGACCACCGAACGACCACCAGGACCATGGGACTGATGGCAAGAGAGAGGAGATGGATGAGGAGTATATGGCAATGATTTCCAATAACTAATTATAATAATAACCACCCATTCCTGGAAATAATGAATATGTATGAGCATTTAATGTATATAAACTGTGAAGTTTGTGTCCCTGGTCGTACAAGTTTGGTGGAGCGATCCCCCTTGTGCCCAGCGCTGAATAAACAAGTACCTGCTACTCAGAGATACAAGCCTGTGCGTAGTTCTTTTCCAGGCTTTTCTTGGCATCATAACCACCTTCTAAAGAATGAGGACAGCAATATGTTCTTTACTGCCAGCCACCAAGCAGGAGACACTCCCTAAAATTCAGTAACTTAACCAATTTTCTATAAAGGAAACATTTCGGTAGTATAGAAGACAAGCATGTCATCTCCCATCGAATGTATGATGACAGCGTGAAATCACCTTTTACCTAGAGTGAGACAACACAGATACTATATTCTTGAGAATAGGTCTCAATTGCTTTCTAAAAAATGCTTCTAATCCTTGAAAAAAGGGGCCCACCTTCCCATTTACTGCCTCCACAAAAGCCAGAATGATTTATTCTATTGTTGTTTCAGTTTACTATCTGAATCTTCATCATGGAAGCAACACATGGCCACTAATAGATTGTAACTGCTACATTGGTTCCAAACAACAAAAATCCCTTTGCCTATAAAATATTGTCTCTCTTCTCTTCTCCACTCAAAAAATGTATCTAATTCTCAGATGCAGGAAAATTCAACATATTTGCAAATTTAGCATAGCCACAACTCAAGTGAAAATGATGGAAGGATACCAACAACTAATCCATTCCCATCAGATATCATAGGAAAGAAAACAGGCTAACTTTGTGTGTGTGTTACTACATAATATATTGTTAGAAGGTGATTGATGCTGCTTTGCTACATAACTGAATTGCATGCAATGCTTTTTTCACGATAGTATTATGCTGCACCAAATAAGCTAAATAAAAAAAATTAAAAATAAAGAGGCTTCTCTGAGGGTAGTAGGACAGAGAATTTATCTCATTTTAGACAAAAAAAGCTGGTAAAAACAGGCATATCGGAATATCATATATATTTAAGATTTTTCAGAACAAAAATAGGGATCTTTGCCAAACAGATGGTTCTAAGACTACTCAATCAGAAGGTTATATAAAGGACATGTATAAGTTTGAGAAATCACAGTACTGAAATCTCCAGAAAACAGGATGTTACTATGAGGGATGAAAAAAGGGAAGAAAAAAAAGCAAACAAAAAAGAAAATACATCTTCCTCCCCACCCAAATCAACAAAAAACCATCACCAACAACAAAAGACTAATACAACATCACCCCCTCACAACAACAAACAAATAATAACAAAACACCAAAGAAAAACCCAAACAAACCACTAAACCCCAGAACATTGTGCAAGCACTTGATATAAATAATTCACAAGAGCAAGACGTTAATATCTGAAAGTAGAAGAAACAGGTGGTAATCCCCACAAGATTTTTAAGCTGACCATACTGAAAACTGTCTGACAGATATGTAAATCCAAAAAATGGAAATTAGTCTGAGTAGCTTCAATAATTTTCCCCCAAAACTGTGGGGTTCTATTTTCCAAATGACAGAAAGTTATGTATCTAGACCAAAGCCCAGGAAGTAGTAAGATAACCCATGCGTTTTATCTGTATAGGGACACAGCTTCAAATTTCCAATAAAGCTGAAAAACTGAACATTTTAAGCTATCTGTCCGAGGTTACAATGTAGGGTATATAGTAAGTATTCTATTATCGTCTCCACAAGCTGTTAAAGCAGGTGGGGCAGTGATCGTTATCTCCTACTCATCCCTGATGGCTCCCTCAGGGGCTGTCTCTGTTTAATGGGCTGTCAAGGACTCATGCATGACCCACTGACTTACATCCTCCCATTGTGAGATACTTCACCCCAGGGGAGGAGCCAAGCATTCCCACATGGATATAAACTGGGGTTTGAATCAGCACAGAGCCCTTTGCCTACTGCATTCCCAGAGGACAAGAGCTACCACTGGACCTTCAGGTGAAGACCAGATCTACAGGATCACTGCTCCAACAGATCCATCACTCTAGGACTGCAGCCACCATTTAATGGGACTACTACCAACACCCTGACTGACAGGGTGTCAGGTTGCTTTCTGACTCTGTCAGTGGTTTCTTTTTGTACTGTTGCATTTATTGTTTTGATTTTCCTATTAAATTGTATTTCTGACTTGGAGTCTCTCACTGGTTTGCTTTCAAACCAGCACACTATTAAACACAACAAATAAATGTATTCTCTTTTTACTTGAAGAATATTTCTAAGTCTACATGCACTCTGAAAGACAATTTCAAAGGCAAATGTCTCACCTGGAACCCATCGTACAAAGTGACTGGTAAGAGGAGGCAGGCATATAGACAATAGCAGAATTGTAGCACAGCATAAGAAAGCTCAGCACCTCAAACCTGGAAAGAGACAAGAGCAAAACCTTGCATGGTTTAAATAGTTAATATTACTTTAAAATTTAACACAAAAAGGCTACAATTCGTCTCAAAAAATACCCCACAGGAAAAGAGTATCAGAAGGAAATACACAAATCCTGAATCTTTTAATTATAATTCGCTAGCTTGAAACAGGCTATCAAAGGTTCACCAGAAACGCTTCAAATTATTATTACTGAAAGCCATTAGCATATGCAGGAACTATGGAGGAAGTGGGATATGGCATAATGTTTGGAGAAAGCTGTAGAACTGGAAACTCCTGCAATGCTTTCCAAATTATTTTGTCAGTTTTCCCAGGGCTGTCTTGAGACACAGGTAAAGCTGTCAGTCACTAAACAGCAGGGCAATTTCTTTCAGCCCTACCTCTGTCTATCCACTTAGCTCTGTTCCCCTTTTCCTGTGGAAAAAAGCAGTCAGTCTCAGATCCAGAGCTGAATTTTGTTACACTTCCAGGAAAAATTGAATAGACAGCCACAAACCCAAATATATTCCTTAGGGACACAGAAATGACAGAGAAATTACTCTTCTAAATTAACTAGTAAAAGAACATACAAACTTGGAACAAAGAAACAAACACATTATACCTCAAGATTACCAAGATTGTTCTCTAAATTTATTTTCAAGCTGAGAAAAATGTTAGGACCAGTATATTATAGGATCAGTCCTAAGGCCTTGTCTGCCTAGTGTTAGTGCTCTAGTGTTAGAGTGCATCCACCTACCGGTTCTGTGCTGTGAAGGTCTCTCTTTGAGGATGAAGATCACTGTAAACTACTCTGATGAGGTCATGCTGACTTAGTGCTCCTTCAGTTAATGCCATGGATCCAATAGTAGAGGGCTAAAGCAGGTGGTGGGAAGAGGAAGGAAGGAAAGGAAGAAATCGAATCATAAGTAAAAGGTCCCCAAAAGCATTAAAACACTGAGCCAAAATACACTTATCCTGTGATATGTAAAAACTAAGATTATTCCAGAATACACTACATCTAAAAACATTACCTAATTTCATTACTATAACAGTGTCCACACTCACAAGCAATAGAGCAGGTGAGAGCAATTTTCACCTTTGATTCTTAGATATCCATTTTTTTAGTAAGTTTGTCCTAATTGCATAGACTTTTTGTTCAGAAACAATAGAGAAAGAAAAACACAATTCCAAGTTTAAACTGTATTAAGGAAGAGCTAGCAGAAGACTACTTTTTATTCTAACACGTAAGAGGCAAAAAACACAGCTGCAATTGCAACACAACTTCTGTTAAAAATGGGCACTATGAGCAAGCAGTTTTCAACACTTATATTACTTTTCTTCTACTAATGCTATTGAATCTGATTACACAAACTGCAAGCTACTGACATTGAAAACTTACTGCAACCAGATGCATCTAAAATGTCCTGTTTCATCAAATGGATCCAGTTTTCAATCCTTTAACAGATCCAATTCTAATTTACCATAGCAGCTGTCTTACCTCATGATATATTGAGGGTTTAGATAATGAAGGGATGGTGAAAGACAAAACTTTGTTGTTTCCATCTTTGTCAGCAATTTCCTGCATTAAAAACAAAATCAAAACCCCAAAAGAAGTAAGGACATAGGACTTGGAATGCTTTCAACTCTTAGGAGGTATTTAACAACTAAATTAGAAGTCCTGATCTGATAAGACTATTAACACCCCAAGAACTCTCTGCGCATTTGCAAAACATCAGCAAATTCACATACATATTTAAGCAGTGAGAAAGGCCTCTATGCCTCTATCACAAACTGCTCTGCAGCATCAGTCTGCAACACTTAAAAACCAGCACTGGCTCCTTGGTCAGTGTGACTTTAAAAACAAACACAAACAAGAACAAAAGAGCTTTTCTAGCCCACCTTTATGTTATAACATTTATTTATAACACAATTGCATAGTGGAACAAGCCTAAACTTCAAGCCCAAAAGATACTGACACACGAGGGCTGGTGAGTCACTTGCTGACAATGGGTAATGAAAAGGTGAAATCAAGGGGACTGGCAAAGTTTCCTCATGCATCCTATCAGTAGGAAATACAGAAAATGTTTTCTCAAAAGGCTTTCAAACTGGTCAGATTTTACAGTTGCTAGGCTACTACATAAGCAAACCCAGCAGTTTTTAAAGAAAATATACTAAGAGCAATTACATAAAACTGTACCAAAAAGGAGTCTAAAATCCTGCCTTTACACTTAGTACAGCAAATTTTCAAATAATAAGCTCCTGTCATTCCAGTTCATTTGAAAATTTAGCCCAAGGTAGTTCAGTACTTGCAGTAGGCTTTAAGGATTTCAATGGCTAGTAGAATGTAGCAGAATGCTAAAGATTTATCCCTGTCTTTCATTTCCTAACTGTTGAGAAAATAATGTCACTCCCTTGGTCTGTGTGCAGAAAAATATTAACTTCATTAAAGATGTAAAACAGTGGGAGCCACTGTCCATTTTGAGACCTCTTTCTTCCTGAATCTGGAGAGAATGGAGACATTACTGTCCTTAAAAATATATGAATCACCAACATGACTTTCAAAGGAACTGAAAAAGAACCTTCATGAGAAAATGTGAGAAAAGATAAACATGCTACTGCAATCCAATAAACAGTACCAGAAACCAGCAGTTTCCAATGCCTTTTTTTAATCAGAATAAATCTAAAATAACTAGATCTTCTAGTTGTTAGAGCTGATTTACAGCTGCATAACTAAAATACATTTGATTTTTAGAATCACAGTTTGGCTGTTCTGTCTTATCATGTGTAGAAATATAATACACAATGTCGAGGAGGGGTTGACAGTAACAGTAGAGAGAAGGGTGATGTTTCAGTAGACTATGTTTTAAGGTCCTGTAACACTGGAATTCCCATTAGAGAATGCCTGTTGTGGCACTATTGCTTAAATTTATCCAACAGCCTCATAACATCAGGAAAGTAAATATTTCCAGGGTTAGGTAAGGATATAAAAACCTTCTTTTACATCCAACAACCAAACTTAATACTTTACAGTTACTTATTCTTAAAATCAGTTTGCCTCAAGACAAGTATCTGACTCAAATGTACACATGCATGTGTCTAAGTGCTTGCATGCAGAGTGGTTTCACCTTCAGGATTAAGGAGGGTTACCTAATTTCCTTACAAACACAAGCAGGTAACAGTTCAAGAAAGCCCACATGATGATCCTTTTCAGTGAAAATGCTTTTCCCAAAACAGATAACTATAAAAATAATTTTGCAAACACATCCTTGCTAAACCTTCATTACATTATGCTTTTCTCCAGATTAAGTATGCTTTCATTATATTATAATTGTGCTATTTAAGTATGTTGTCCCAATAATTTACTTTACTCCTAGTGGTCAGTGATACAAAACTTGAGATCAAAGCTCTCCTCAGTCATTCCCACTCATCTCACTTACCAAGTTGTAAATGCCAAGCAGCAATGCTTCAATGCAACCATTACTCTGCCTATCCCTGCTGGCAGTAAGACGCAGATACACCCAGACCAACTCTGGCAAAAACTGCAGTGTGAATCTCTTGAGCCGAACTTCAGAACTACGGTAAAGTTCAAAGAGCTGGTGGCAAACAGGCTCCAGGAGCTGTGAAAAGACAAAAAGGCTAATGATTTACTGGTAGGCTTCTCTAATAAGGGAGGGTGAAATAGCAAATACAGGGGCTATAGCATATAGCAAGGGCAGCCAGTAAAAGTTACATTCCTTGATGGTGAGTGAATCAGATGGTACCTGCATTCCTTTTAAGGGGAACTCTAAGGACAGACCTGAGGGGCACTGGGGTGCAGTATTGGGAAATGTGGCCTTACTACTGCCACTACCATGTGTGCTTAGAGCAGATTATTCTCTAGGGCTGCCAGCATGAGATTTATCTTCTATACGGGTACTAATTTAAGGCATGTGACAGACATGTGGCTTGAACTATCTGCACCATAAAACTTTTATAGTGCAGTTGTAAGGTCTATCAAAACACAAAGGTGAAAGTTTAGCTGCTAATGACAACTCCACTGACAGAAATATGAATTCATTTCTGATGTTTTTAGTCACAAACCCATCAAGTATGCATATGTTCATTGCAATGCAAACTGATCATAGAATCAACCAGGTTGAAAGAGACCTCAAAGATCATCGAGTCCAACCCTACAATCATTACTAGATCATGGCACTAAGTGCCAACTCTAGTCTCATCTTGAAAACCTCCAGGGATGGTGAATCCACCACCTCCCTAGGCAGCCCACTCCAATGACTGATCACTCTCTCTGCAAAAAGTCTCATCCTAACATCCAACCTAAACCTCATCTGGCAGAGCTTGAGTCTGTGCCCTCTTGTCCTCCTGCTGGTTGCCTGGCAGAAGAGACCAACACCTATCTGACTACAACCTCCTTTCAGGGAGTTGGAGAGGGTGTTAAGGTCTCCCCTGAGCCTCTTCTTCTCCAGGCTAAACAACCCCAGCTCCCTCAGCCTCTCCTCACAGCACTTGTGTTCGAGTCCCTTCACCAGCCTCATTGCTCTTCTCTGGAGCTGCTCCAACACCTCAATATCCTTCCTGAACTGAGGGGCCCAGAACTGCACACAGTACACTCAAGGTGTGTCCTCACCAGGGCCAGGTACAGGGGCAGAATCACCTCCCTGGTCCTGCTGACCACACTGCTCCTGACCCAGGCCAGGATGCCATTGGCCGCCTTGGCCACCTGAGCACACTGCTGGCTCATGTTCAGCTTTCTCTCTCTCCAAACTCCCAGGTCCCTTTCTGCCTGGCTGCTCTCCAGCCACTCTGTCCCCAGCCTGGAGCACTGCATGGGATTGTTATGATCTCTCCATCTTGAGCTGCACTTCTGATTTCAGTACAAGAATCAAAAAAAACCCCTCTCAAGTCAGTGTGATGTAAGCATAAGAAATACCCTGCCATTTTAAGTCTAAAATGCTAAACCAATAGTTAAGATGCATCCATGGACCTGCTAATGAACAGGGGAAAAAAGTATAAAGAACTACAAACAGTCTGACCCTTTCCCAAGACTAATCAAGTTTTTAATACAGAAGTTAAAAACTGAAAAAAATTTTTAAGATTTCCAAGACAAATTTTTGTAAGGCTTGTGACCAGAATCTAGTACTGCATTCTATGAAATGAGATGATTTTACCTAAAGAAAATACTCATGGGCTTCACTGTCCAAGAAGACATAGGCATAAATATAACCTAAGGCATCTGTATTCATATAGAAGAGTTCAGAGTCAGAAAACAGAGGCCAGAACCTCAAATAAGTCCTCTTTCTAACAGTGCATGTTTTATGCAGCTCTCTTGTACGTACACACACAATAATATTAAACATCAAATGATACGTGTTTTTAGAGCAATAGCAACCTTACATTTGACCAACACAGTAGCAGCTGCATGGGTGAGTCAAGAAGGCATAAATAGGAAATTGTATTTCCTACAGTATAGAGCAGATTATATAAGGCACATATGACTCCTCTTTCACTCCCAGGGATATGCACCTTAGGACTTTTAAAGCAATAGCAGCATATTTAATGGACTTTGTTGCATACTTCTTTCATTAATTTGTCTATTCATCAAAATCTTAGTATACAGAATTTCCTGTAGAACTGACTATCACTTTTGCTGTGCTGTACAAAAGTGTACTTCCATGGTTTGTGGTGATCCAACCATCCTCTTAAAAAACTCAGAAGTCCTTTGCTAAGAGCAGAGGGACAAACATTTCTGCAAGTGAACAGTTTGATTGTTTGATAAATGTGAAATGCCATAAATCTGTGTGAATGTACAATTTCACATACACGTATTTAGACTTAGATATTTTACTTTAGCATATAAAAAGGAAACAAATTTGACAGAACTCTCTATCAAGATAGCTGGCTTGAGAGAGCATCACCCAAGAAACAGCAAACACATGAGTCTAATTTCTAACACACAAGATTCTGGTCCATGAAGCATAGCATACCATATTTAAACCACTGATTGCATGAGTCATAACATGACATTTACGTAAAATAAAGAACTTTGCTGTCAGAAAAATCTCTTCTTAAACAAGGCTCTGGTATAAGAACCTTGTGTAACAAGGCTTCTGACTGCCAGACTGGTTGCTCTAAGCTAGAAGCCTTCTCTTACAACAGAAGCAAACAGCATCCACAAGAGAGGGAGGGAAGAAAACACTGCCAATGCTGATACAGAGTGAGAGAAGTCCAGTCATTTGGAACACACAGATTTTTACAAGCCATATACACACACATATATAAAATAACCCACCATTTTTGTTTTGGGGTCTAAATGAAAGTCTGTAAAGCTTCTATTGCAAAAATTTTGAGGAAAAACTGGTATAGCTTCTCTATCAAGTTGAGCATATATTATTTTAGCTAGTGTATTTATTCTGGTAGTTCACATATATGTAGCACTTTATGTTCAAAAGAGGCATAAGTATATAGTTTCTTAATATTTACTTAGTAGAAACGCCTATCTAAAAGTGACAATGATTATTAAAGCCAACTGTTATAGTAAATGTTCAAATCCTCAAGGACAGAACCATACCCTTGTTTTATGAAAGGCCTAGCACATTTCAGATGTTCAGATTAAAGATGCTGTTAATAAATAATTCAAGTATCACTAAATAAATTTGCAGGTTTTCTTGAGAAGAAAATACGAGCAAGAAGTTGGTGTAAAAAAGAAACAGGCATCTCTGAAAACAATACATACATATCTGCAGGGAGATGACAAGTGCAAGAAAGCTAAAAAATATTATCCAAAAGCAGATATATACAGCAGCAATGCTATAAATTAGAGATGACAGCAGCCCAAAGCTGTTTCCAATTTGAAATTAGCCAGTCTAATCCAAGTCCCACTAAAACAGTGGAAAAGAAAAAGTTATTTTAGCTAGTCAGATAAGACTCAACCACAGCAGTTAGTGAGTTTATTCTACCTACTTTCAAATGAAAATTTTATAAAATAAGTCTTTTAAAAAGTGAAACCATGCTCCCTGGAAAGATACAAGCAATATCCAGTCACTGGTCCTGCAAATTCTCCTCATTCCTACTAGTTGTCATTTGTGGTGCGAAATATCTGACAACTGCACCATGACTTAGGTGAAAATCTGCAAGTTGCTTGTAGTAACTACTACAGTGTTCAGAGCTTTAAGTCCACAAAAAAAAGCTGCCATCACAAAGGTGCCGCAACACAAATATTTTCAAAAGCACAAACACCCAAGATTTTCCTATGAAAGCATAGTATGGTAGTCTCCCACTCAAACACAAAACTTGACACTAAGAACAAATGTCCTCCTTGCATCCTATTTATCTGGCTTTTCAAAGAAACAGCCTCTTCCAGTTAATTCTCTGAATATAAATACTGTGAGGACACTGGATAAACAGAGGAAATAGAGCTTTTGTCATCAGCAGTGGGTGTATACACATGGACCGGAACACATTTTTCACATTCCAAAGATCTTTCAGTCCAAAGTCAAAGCAAACTGAGTCACACAGCAGCCAGCAAAACAATCCAAAGTAAAAAACATAATGATATTTTTACTGGCTTAAATATGCAGTAATTGCCAATAATATAATACTCAGACTTCATTTTTACACCTCACAGAGATGCAGGCTAGTCATGTTTCAAGGAAACTGATGAATAGCTGAAGTTTGGCTTATTTCACAAGTTTGCCAAATCTTAAGAGTCGTATTTGGAAGTTAAAGATGATGGGTTATAAAATGCATGACATAGATTGGAAATCCTTGCCTTTTTTAAGAATTCAATCATGGTAGAAAATAACATGCTCATTTTAGGTTTAACTACAACATAATGGGTGATATCAGTTATTACTTGAAGAGTATTGGGTCTGGGAGTGCTTGGCATTGCAAAGGTGATCACATATTGTTTCAAGGCTGCCCTTTCCAAGTTAAACCTAATTAACCCCACATGAATATTCAGTCTTTACATTTCAGTAGTGTATTAACTTGAAATCCATACAGTATGTCTACAACCTTAAACCAGCTTCAAAAACTGTAAAACTATCTAAAAAACAATACTTCAGAAGCACTTAACTTTAGAATTCAAACATTAAGCAAAAATCCATACCTTATTCAGTTAAGTAAGCTCTTTATGAACAAGATCACTCCCTACACTTCCTGTAACTTTCTGTTCCAATTTCCCATATTTAAAAAAGTCAGGACATTTCCTAAAAGGCCAATAGTAACAATTGTATTTCACTTGGCAGTATGCTTGCCTTTGTCTGACAGCTCTCACGCTGGCAGACAGCTGTCAAAAGAGAGAAACACCTTGGTTGTTTGGTTTGGTTCCTAACATGCTGGTTTCATGATAAATGAATAATCCTGGTTTTATCAAAATAGTATTACGTGATTTTAGAAACATTCATGTTTGCCCTAAAGAGTTTGCCACTTTAAGGAAGTTTTAAAAATAGATCAATTTTACACTTAGTTGTACTAAAAAAATTACTTGTCCATCAAGTTTAAGAATCCAGCAAGTCCATTTTTATAACAGTCTACCACATAGGCTTAATCTTTGTAAGCAATCAGTTACCCTTCTAACAAATAATGCCCTATAAAGCATATTTCACACCCCCCTCACTTAGAGCCAAACAGTACTACAGAATTATGCAAAGTAACAAATTTACTACGATTATATTCCTCACACGCAAATAATTTTGGAAGATGTGCAACAAGGAAATACAAACTGCCTTAACAAACAGAACCTGAAGTTAGACATCTTTGAGACTGGGAATGCATATCTTATACCTGGTATCAGAATCAGGCCCAAACAACAACAGCTGTTCCAAAGAGTAACATTTGACAGTCATCAGTGGGCAATGACACAAGATTACTGTCACACGCTGAAGCAGATACTCTTTTTTGCAAATCTGGTTCTTTACACATTAAAAAAAAAATCAAATGCTTATTCACAAAGCAAAGGAAAGCTTTCACATTTTCAGGAGTATACACAAATACATATACACTAAAGGACAACAGCAGCATTGGTGAAGCAGTAGCTTCAGTACAAAGGAAAAGGTCACTATGCAGGTTATATGCAATACTGAAATGAAGCTGACAGCTATGAAGCCTTTTTTTTTTTTTCAGATTCCATGAGCATTATGCAATCTCCTTGAAGCTCAATCTAGCACTCAGCTTCCAAAAGCAGCTGAGCTGTGCATAGGAAAAAAAGAGAACTTCCTTGCTGTGTACACTTCCCGTTCAATTTATAAATATACAAGAGATCACAGATGATATATCAAATATTTTGAAGCATTTTCTCTAAAGTAGTTTACACATCAGGGAATGGTATGCTTGCACAATTTATTCAGACGTTGCATTTCACACACTTGCCCAGAAATGCTCCTAGTGGTTGTCAGTGGAATGGAAAGCCCAGTTTAACGTCACTGGCAAAATGAATTATGTATGATGGTAAGCTAAGCTTTCCTTGTGTGTATTTATATTTCGGGGCCCTGCTTCTGCTCTTGTTTACAGCAGTGTAAACCAAAAATGATACTACTATAAGCACAAGATGATCTTCTTATCTTAACAGCATTTAATAAATTGATTCCATCTTCCACTGTAACAAGCCACCAGGTGAGAAGTACATTGGTCTTAGTGAGTTCAACTGTAAGGCCTCCTTTTCTCAGTTATGACTGGAAGATGCTTTCCGGGAAGAAAAAAAAACCAAACCAAAAAGCCCCAAAAATAAGTAATGCCAAATCAGCCGTGGCAAGTAAAATCTAGCAGACAGAATAAACTCTATTTTTGGGAGCAGTTGAGATTGTGTATTAGTAGAAAGCCATTAAAGTTACTGTCAAAAGGAAGAGAGTAAAAAGAGGGATGATATCCATGACTACATTAGAAAGCAGAATCAAACAATCTTCCTCTCCACATGCACTATTCAATTACTCTAGTTTTAGTTGTAGAGGTGGAAAATACAAGAATGAGAACAAAAAAAACTTTTTTGAAGTCTCCTACCTCATTATTTGGGTCTTGAATGACCTTATAAAGAGCTGGCACCAGTGGGTTTTTTCGGTGCAAAGTAGCTGCATAGCTGGAAATTTGTGATTCAGGTAATGCCTAAGGAAAAAAAAAAGGTTACTCTGACAAATAAATGATTCCAAGTATTAAATATCTCCACAAAAGGATTCAGCCTCATTTTCAGACTTGTAACCCAGCTGTTCAGTACAAGTTCTTCTCAATACAAATACCATTTAGGATCACATAACAGGGTTAAATCCACAAGCAGTTTCAGATTCATGTTTCATAAAATCACTTGTTCTAGTTTGATATGAGGACTTTCTTTCTTCATATTCTGTATTTAACAGGCACTTCTCAAAGTCTTTATCAAATCAACTTATTTAAGAGGTGTGGGTAATCTAGAATGAGCAAGGACATCCTTGAGTCTCCCCAAGCAACCAAGTCTAGGTATTTTGTATCCTTAGATCTTATACACATTTTCAATGACAGCACATAATGAATTACTATCATGAATGATGTGAGGAATTACTAATTCTTAATTAACAGATTAATTTTGTATCAGTCATGAAATCCTGTTTTCTTGTTTGTTCGTGCACTATTCTGTATTTCACCCAGCAGAATTATCAACAAGCAAAACAGCTTAAAAATACTTCAGATTCTTCATGATACAGCAATTAAATTTATGCAGACCAGAGGTGCAATAACCAAATCTTTTTCTTGGGTGTTTTTTTAAACATCAAATATTTCTATCAATTTTTTTTTAAAATAAAACATTCCTCAGCTGAAAATTTGGGCAGTGTTATCTAGCTCTTGTTAAATTCTATCAGCTTGACCTACACAAAAACACAGCTTTAAAAAGCCACATTGCTATAGCAGTGTTCTGCTCCACGATAATAAGCAATAAAAATAAATTACTATTAGAACTATGCATTGTGTACCAGTTAACTCATTTTCACAGACCTTTGCACGCTTTATGCATTAGAAGAGGTTGAAAGATCAAGTAATAGATATTTAAAATGTCAATTACTGGATATTAAAAATAAAACAATCCACAACTATGCTCTGTGGCACAAAGCCAATGGTTTTGCTACCATTCATCTTCTCAGTTCACCTTGAATTCTGACAGCCATTCTTCCACGACACCTCGTTCTGATCCCAGCATTTTCTTACTTTTTTTGCTTCTCTCTTACCTTGTGAAGAAAAAGAAAAACAAAAGAAATTAAGTAAGAGTTCTAGCACGGAAATTTAGCTTTGTAAAGTCCTACCCCAATGAAAAGCTGTTAACATCTTTCCAATAGAATTCTATAGTAGGAAAAGTTGCATTTTGGACAAGTGGGTCCATTATCTAACAGCAATTAAACTGTTATCTTCTCTGAGTCAGAAGTACTGCACAGAAGTGGGGGCAGAGGAAAAAGAAGGATTTGGTGCTTCAGGCCAAAATGTACATTATTTAAAACAAACACATCATGCCATTCTTGCTCCCTTACCAAATATAGTACAAAGAAAAGACAAGCGAAACAAAGAAAAGAGCATCATGGAACAAACCATGTGAGACATTGTCATGACAGTTTTAGATACAGCCTGAAGTAAAGCTGTTTCATAAAACAAACTAGTTATTAGAAATCCTAACAGCAGAACGGAAACTTTGTTCTTAAGCAACTTTCTGCATGATCTTGGTACAGGCTGACCTGGAAATCATTCAGGTCCCAGAAAATTTTAATCTGATGGAGTGAATGAAGCTGTAGTCTAATATTAGAGATTAAAACCTAAGAATAGTCACCTGAAAAGGGCTAAATTGAGGAAATATAAAAGCGGTTTAAGACAGTAATTCTTAGTTAAGGTTTCAGCAAAGGTTTATTTTTGACAGGCCCTGCAGGTTCACAGCTGAACAGAAACAAGAAACAGAAAATCTGTGAAGGGACACTGTATTTCTAAAAGAGACTTTGGTCACATTTTTTGGTTTTAATTGATATTGCAATGTAACAATTTTATGCAACAACAAAGCTGTCACACAGTTACATAATTCTACCACATTTTTCTTAAACCCACAGATACCCATCAGCTTCAAAGACCCTTTTTTTCCTTTTTCTTTTTCATTTTAAACTTCATACAAGTAATGTCAAGAATATATTAAGGGTAATTATTTGTAGAATTTTTTGTAAAATTTATGAGGAAAAGGCAGGTAAACATGAAATGAATTATTTACATTTTATGACTGTCTTTCAAATGTATTTTGAAAATTACTTAGGTTCAACGAAAAATTACAGGTTTGGCATACAAGTTACATCATGGAAGTCTTACGATAAATGACCTTTAAATAGCCAGACTACATGATTGAAACTGACTGGAATCACTTATTCTCATAACATTCTTGTTTTGATTTCTGAAAGACTTGTATTTAAGAACAGATCAGTATTTGTTAAACAGAAAACAAAATTAAATAAGATCTAAAGCTTCCCAGAGCAATGTTTAAGTTCATGCAGCATTTTCCATGGCCCTTGGCAGCAAGACATTAGGAGAATACAAACTCCTGTGGGTAAGGAACTGCTTCAGATTTCTAGAATGTTTAAATATCCGAAAATATAACAAATTCAGAAATAACATTCATTTAAATTCAGCCAACACTTGGGTATCTTATTTCAGCAGAAGCACTGAAAAATAATTCTATAAAGCAACACAACACAGCTAAACAGATCTCTGCAAACAAAGGTTTCCAAAAACATCCTTTTTGATATAGGGAAACAAATACCAGTCATCAGAATGAGACATGGATAGAAGTTAATTCAAAATATCACAGAGCATGTACAGAAGAAGTTGAGTTCATTTTGTCTAGGAAAAAAAAAGTACAACATTCAGCTTTACCTCTTTAAAAAAGTCAATTTTCTAAAGGAGGAAGAGGAGAAGGAATGCAGCAGTTTTTCAACCTGGGATGCATTTGTCAAGCCTTCAAGTACTGCCTCGTTTTCTAAAAGATGAAAAGAAACTATGATGATCATAAAATAAGGAAAAATACAGCAAAGTGAAGCAAACAGTAATGCAAATAGTTTTTGCCCTTACAAACTGAAGTCTATCAAATCCTTTAAAGTATACATGAATCCTTCTGTAACAAAGCAATTTGCCATTTAAAAAAAGACTCAGTGTTTTAGCAGGAGGAAGGGAGGAATTGCCTCCATCCAAAAAGGCTTTCTCACTTGTGTGGAGAACCCTCTTACACTAGTGGTGCACAGTACCACAAACACGCTAGAAAGGAAAATTGAAGCACTATTTCTTACAAAGAACAGTGAAAGAAAAGAGTAGTAATTTCATAAAATGTGAACTGAATCAATACCCCGACTTTGGAGAATATATAACTCTTAAATAGAATATATTCAAGACTCTTCCTTACTATAATTTTCTTAGTATATATTTCTTACAAAGCCAAAATTTCAGCATCATTGTAAAAATCATGTATTACTGTAAAGTTCACCTTTTGCTGCAAGATCCCTTCTTTCTGAGCATGAGAAGCTATATATACATGAGCCAACTCTAGGTAAATTAGAAAATTTCAGTATCTGGAGACCTCCAAAGGGAAATTAAAGTATATGAACAATGGGTGTATTCCATTTCACCCTGCTTATTCAATTAATTACTTTTCCAAAACACGCAGTTACTAAAATCCCCTTCCACCACCACCATCTCCCCACTAATTAGAAAAAGGCTAACAGGAGGTACCATTCTTTTGAGGCTACACTGTAAATGAATGCTTTTATGACAAGATGGTATACACAAACATGTGTCCTCTACGAATTTTCTAAAATCAGATGTTTTTTAAAGAATTTCAATTCCTTGCAGAAACCTTAAATAATTAGCTTCCAAATGAAAGAAATTCAAATCCTCCTCCTCTT